CCCAACAGGTGTACTAGCAGGTGATCTTTCTAATTATAATGCACTCCAACATTTTCAAGGCTATTATTCTTTCTACATAATAACCTATGAATACAAACCATTTTTACCTCTTTGCACAGGGGCTAATAGCCATAGCACAGTAATTGGAACATCCAATATTAATTCTCTGAATGCTCTTCTTTGTTGTGTACTTTTGGAAAAAAATCAAATGTAGGAAGATTAAAGTAAGTACCTGTATTAATATAGCTAGGCCCTTAAAGTAATCCATCTGATTTTTTTGCAGCAGGGCTGAGAACCTGCAGCTCCTATTGAATCCAGTTCATAGCTAAGAGTTTATTAACAACCTCTGAGAGAAAATAAAGACTGAATGAAGGGGAAAGGAAGTTGACCCAGGAGCTCTGGTTCAACTTTGTCTTGATGTTCTGAGGCGTTATTTAAATCCAAATAATTTTATAAATAGTCTTCAAGAAGACCAAACATTTCAAGAACTAAAAGAAAATATTGTAAGTTGCAATGGCAATAACAACATATTTAATAACAACAACAAATTTCCCTGCCCCTGTCTGGTAAAGAAACAAGTCTCAAGGAAGACAGCTGGCAATACTTCAACCTAACAAACTAACTCTCAATTTCACCTGAGATTCAAACTGGAAGCTGCTGGGATACCATGACAGATAGAAAATTTGTTATATCTGATACACAAGTAAATCCAGAGTTGTGAATTTACAAAATTTTGCATTTGGAAAAAAACCCCAGAAAACAAACTTTTTTGTAACACCAAAATGAGGTTACTTATTGTATGCCAAGCACAAAAGTAGCAATTTGTGTAGCCATTCTAAGAGGAAACTCACCACACAGGTTGCAAACAATACAGATTTTTTTCCAGAATGATTCCTGCCTCCACCTACACAGCAAAATGAACCATTTGCATTTAAATTCACCTTCTGGCTGGCGTTATTCTATAATAAGACAGATATTTCTGATTCTTCAAAGTGTGATTCCTCTGCCCTCCTCCAGTGAAGTCCCTCCTAGTATGTTTGTCTTTCTCATTATCTGCCCCCAACCCAGTCTCCTTCATTCACCCACGCCATACTGTCCTCCTGTTGCTGGAACAACTTGTTCCTAAGACTCTTGCTCAACTAGTGTAAATTCCCCAACTCCTGGCTTCTTCCCTGATTTCTCATTGACTCCACAGCTACTCTTAGATTACCTCCAATCTTTACTGCTCCAGCTGCTTGAGAAAAGAGCAAAGTTCTGCTTGAACAGTCTAAGTACTTTCCTCATTTTGTTAAAGAGAATTCTTTTCCACCACCACGAATGTACTTTCCCCGAGTCCATTTAGTTCTCAGTCCATGTTTTTTCTCTGCATTGTTCCTTCATTGCTTCTTTCCCCTTTTCTACTTGAGGATCTTCTATTGCTTTCCCTCCCGCCCTGCTCTGAGTTCTTCCTACACATTGCCCATGACCTCCCCTTCTCAACTCATTAGCCACAGAACTGTATTGACCTCCCTAGCCCAAAACTGTTTCTCCCTCTACATTTGATGTGTCTTCTGTTTCCCCTATCCTTCTGTCAGGTCCAGCTCAAGTCCTGCTTTTATCCGTTCAGACAATTTCCTTCTCATGAACATCATTCTAGAAAGACGTGTCATTAGGAATACAAGACAACTTCTTTCTTTCATACCAAGGGGTGTGATGACACAGAATCCCTTGTTTGTATGCAAGTCTTTTCACCATGCACACAACTCTGAGTTATCTACAAAAATCTAATAGACTTAACTCAGTAATTGTGAATTATAGTTGTCTAAATATTTTAATGCAGCTTTATTTGCATCAAGAAAGAACGACAACTAACAGATTTGTCAGACATATATCAAGTGCAGTCAAAAAATATCAGCTATAATAGGATAATGGGTCTTGTGGATGGGAGGAGCAACACAAACAGTCTAACTTCAGTTTATTAAGGCTTTGAACCCTATCTGACAGTTTCATTATAAAGTTAGGAGATCATGATATACTTAGAAATTGAAGAAACTGAAATAGGTGTAAACCTAGTATGAAAGTGGTACTCATGGAATGGATATCACTGTCAAATTGGAAATACAAACTAAATAGGATTCCACTGGGGACCATCCTCCATTCAATATAATTTAGTGTTTTGTTTTAGGACTTGTATGTTGAAATACAGACTGCAGGTAGCAAAGCTGAGATAGATAGATTAATTATGAGTAACTAGAGATTAATATTAGAAATCAAAATCATCCCAACAGCTTGGAGAAATGGTCTGAAAAAATAGGATGCAATTCAGTAAAGGCAAGTTCAAGGCTCTGTGTTCAGGCAGGAATACAGCATAAATACAGACAGGAGGTGAATGTCAGTGCAGCATGGCTGCAGAAAACAGTTCTGAGAGACGGGAGGCATTGTGGACCATAAGTCAACAACAAAATACCACTGGAAAAATGCAAACATCAAACTAGAGCATATAAACAAAATCATCTGTAAGATTAGGGAAATAACAGTTTCACTCTGTCTGACACTGCTAAAGCCCCTGCTAAAATATTACGCTCCACTTTGAGCACCATGTTTTTAAGAAACATGCAGACCAGATGGAGAGAAGGCAGAGGACAGCAGAAGGAATGATCAGACAGCTAAAAAACATGGTCTAAAGAGAAAGCTTAAATCAACTAAGATGGTTTTGCGTAGGCAAAAATAAAATAAAGGGGAGACATGGTCAAATGAATACGAGGAAGGTGCAGAAGTACTTCATGTGCACTGGGAAGAGGGTAGTAAGTCACAGGCTTGAAGTGAAAAAAGGGAAGTTTAGGCAAGACACAAGGAAAAACTTGATCATGGTACAGATAGACTTCAGACAGAATGCTTGGAGAGGCTATGAAACGATCAGATTTTAGAGAAAGGACAGATAGACATTTGTCAGAAGTGATTTAAATCCAGCTGAGCCTGATCTTTGGAAGGGGAGCAGTCTAGGTGAGATCCTCCCAAAATTTCTTCCAATTTCTAAGGCTTTTCTCTGATCTGATGCACTGGATCAATAAATAATATAGAACAACTATTATATGGATCACTGCGATGACAGATAATAGTAGAAGTGCATGATGTATTGTAATTATTAATGGGATGCATATGCATTAATGTAATAATTTATGTCAATGCTTTGTATTGACAGTCACAGTATGAAACAGCCTAAACCATTTATAGAAAAAAACACTCTTACACTTAGAAAAAGCCCTGAAATTCTTATATATAATATAGCCATTACAGAAAAAAAATGTCCTTAGCAGAGCATAGGGCAACCAATTACTTCCTGTCTTTGCATCCAGTCCTCAAAGGATCAGACAGATATGCCAGTCTTTGGCTGAAGGAAGATCAGGACACTCCTAATAGGAAGACCCAAACATTTAGAATAAAATTCTAATACATAGCACAGCACATCCAACAAAAGAAACTGTAAAATATCATCTTTGAGGCTTCAAACTTTTGTATTAATCTAAAAAAGTAAATACTATACAGGTCCTGACTTCAGCATGGATCTCCATGGGTAGAAAGCTGTGACCACATAGACAAAGCTGGATTGGGGGATTAACATATTAAGCGTCCTTTGCACGGCTCTCAACAGAGAAAACTCCAATTGTATACTCTCTTTGCAAGTCAACAAAAATTAAAAAAAAAAAAAAAGCAACTGAAAGAATAACCACCTGTGAGATACAAAGACATTTATCAACCAAAAAACACACGGTGTTTTAGCCAGATGTAAATCATCAATGTTGAGTCAAACATCTACACTGACGCTACAAACTTCTATGACTACAGAAATTATATTCTTTTCCTATTTGAGTTTGTATACACATACAAGCCTACATGTACATACGTATATATCTGCGTGCTATGGCCTGTCAGTGTCACCCAACCTATGAAATTCTACCGACAGCTTTTGCTCATAAATCTAGCAGGCACTTTTTCGTTCAGTAGAACAAACCTTAATCTAGTTTCAAGGAGTTGCAAAAGACAGCTCCTTTGATTCACCCCCTCCCCTCAACAGAAGCACTGCCTGTTAATCCAGCAGGAAATAACATTTGTCAGGATTGACAGCTGTGGATTTGTATTCAATTCCCAAATTAAAAACCAATGACAGGGCCTAGTTCAATGGAGATGTCAAGCAAAATAAAGAAATAAAAACCCTGCTGCTTTCTCTGTAAAATACAAACACACATACATTTTGGATAACAATACTAAAAGCTGGGAAGGAGATATAATGGGATTAAAGCTGTGTGCAAAGTTTCTCCTGGGGGTTTTTTGGCAGGTTTTTTTTTCCCCTCCAACAACTCACATTTTCTGTTTTTCTTCTTACATATTAAGTTTTCCTCTTACTCCTAATATATGTTTTAAAACATGTTAAAATCTCTTCCAATAACTATTTAAAACCCTGCAAAAAATATAATGTAGATGTTTTCAAAGTCAAATCAGCAAAATCTTCATTTATAACATTACTTACTGTCCAGTTCAAAGGAGGCTTAATTACAGTCCAAATATTATGAAGAGATTGAACAGTACAAGTTCTCATGCTTTAGCAAAATTGTGTTAATGGTAAATCAGAGTCTATCTTGGGCAGCTTCTAGTGTTAATCAGAGTAACAGAGACGGAAAATGCTTGACACAGAAAGACTGGCTGTTTTCTAGTGCTGTGACAAACTGCTCTGAAGAGCTCAATGCAATTTTTCCCAGTTCTAATAGTCTTTGCCATAAATCACAATAGTATCATTCTTACTGGGAACTCAATCCCATAATTATGAGTTTATAATTCCTTAAGTCTCTGTAAATACTCCTCTCACTTGCTGAAAATTACACCTTTCATATACTTTCAGATGTCCATGTTCCTCCAACACATCATTGCTTAAATAAGGAAACAGAGAACAGTAATTTACATTCAAGCCACTTCAGCAATGTGTGAAATAACAAAATGCAGTGTTTTAACTTACTGCTATTTACCTGTAAGAAGTGATCCTCCTCAGGTCTGTAACGGGAACACGATAGCCACACTCTTCTAAGACTTCCCCACATGCAATTTCTTCTAAAGAAAGGTCTGGCTTGTCTACAATGCCAGCGCAGAGTTCATAGGTCACTCCTTCCACAGCAGGTAAGGGATCCTCTAGACGAGAGAAGCTCTCCTTGTCCTGATGCTGAAAGACTTGAGGATGATGCCTTTCTACTTCACACATGTAAACAGCTTAAAAAAAAAACAAACCACAAAAGAAAATGTGTGTGGGGATGTTAAGTTTATTCATATTAAATAGAAAAAAAGATGGTACAAAAATTTTGCCTGGAAATTTCTAACCATAAGAGTACTTGGGAGTAACAAAGAGTTCAGTTGTGTTATCTGTTAAAATGATGACACACTGAAATTGGAATTTTAGAGAACAAAGGTTCCCTTGCCATTTCTGTAAAATTATTCTTTAAATTCTATTTGTGCTTATATCACTTGGAATGAATTCATGCACACCTTAAAATAAATAAACATTAAAAAAGGAAGGTAGTTCATCCAAGAAATCTCAGTTCCAGAAGTGCCATACAGCATCCATTTGTTGGGCAATGCGGATATCAGGATCTAATTTAAACTATGCAGTTATCTTGCAGGAAAGTTGGGTTGTACATTATGTACCATGTGCACAATGATGAGTCTTTCAGCCTGTCAACTCAGCTGTTATTTAGAAAGGGTATGAAAAGCATGTATGTTTGTTTGAAGAAAAAAAAAAAAGAAAAAAAGAACAAAAAAAAGAACCTCTTTTGAACATATAGTTCCTTGCACAGATTCCTGCGTGGAGTCTGAAAAAGACTTCTTGAATTAATCTACAAACAGCTGGCACTGTAATGCACTCCTAAAGAAAGTGCAAATGCCAGATTTTAGTCCTTATTTAAGCAAAACCTCTCACTGATGTCAACAGAAATTTTGCCTGGGTGAGAACTGGATGTTAACACACAAAGAATCACTACTGACAATTCCAATCATTGTAACTTTAGCTTACAGGTATAATCCCACCTGTTTCTTCTTTGAAATTTGCTCATGTCTATTCCTTTGCTTTTCATAAAAGGTTACCATGAGGGTGTTATAAAACACCCTGAATAAAACTATTTTAAAATTTGAAATTATTTTTATTTCATTAAAATATTTTACATGTATATTTCCAATACACCTAACATCGTTTTAAAATGAGCTTATCTTTTATTTCCCATTCTAAATCTTATAGAACTTTTATATAAAAAAGCTCAAGTTTAATGGACAACTTTTTGTTCTTCCACTTACTGGAAGTTATTTCTTCAAATTGTGAGATACAACAAGGTCCCTAAAGAAATATTGTTGCATAGAAGTGACTTCTCAGGTACTTGGTCTATGGGGAAGAGTCTGTACCCCAGAAGTTGATGACTAGGCTCCTCCTATAACGCTTCTTGCCTCAGAAGTGTAGTATACCAAGTTCAGCACCTGAATGGGAGATGTCTAGATCAGTCTAAAAAGAAAGACAAAGTGCAGAAGTTTGCCCCAAACTTAATCTTTCTCCAGAATTTAAAACTTTCAAAACTGTTTGCGGTAGATACATCTAGGCCTTTGAGACTCAAACATTTAAGAAAAGGAGCCTCCATTTCTTAGTTGAAAACCATGACTAGAGCTCAGTTTTGTTTTTAGAATGCAGCAAGAAAGTGGCAAAAAAACCAATCCATGCAGAGTCTGAAGGACAGATCCTTGAAGGGTGTCTATTGTCATTATTCCAAATAGTTCTAAAAGCTATGACGAATATCATAAATGACAACTACCTCCAGGATCTCTCTAGGATGAGCCAAATACTCTTAAGATTGTATTGCTTTTTCAATATTGACTTACCTGCATCAGTAATTATAAAAAGGACAATGCATATATCCCAGTAAAGGACTTGGGCACCAAAACAGGATGCAGGTAAGAGAGCGGGTACAGAAATATGAAACTGTGATTAAAGTAACTCTCTGTTACAAGTCTCTTGAATCTCTGAAACCCATTCTGTCATTCTGGCAGGCACCTGTCATTCTCCTTCTCCCTCAGCACAACTGGGCTCCACGTAGATCAAAACCTACATTCCCAAAAGGACCCAATCCAGCAGTCCTCTTCAGAGCAAAGCCGACCCTCAAAGCACACTAACAGCTTTTCTCTGCAGTTAAGGAAGAAAAGAAGCAGTACCAGCCACTTCTGTAAGAGACCAAAAATCAGAGCATTCACCAGGAATCACAGCATGAATTCATTATCAGCAGGCTCAGAAAGGTTCAAACTCAATTTATCTCTCATAGATAAGCAAAGCCAGGAAAACCCAAGCTGCCAGCTAATATCAGGGAACAGAGGAGTCCCCCACACCGCTCCTGACAGTGCAAAATTGACTGCACAAGTGATGCACCACGGAAGATAAAGTACCGGATGGAAAAGCAGCCTGTGGCCTATTCGCTAGGGCACATCTTCACAGGGAAACCTGTGACTCCCCTCTTCCTCATCCCAGGTTGTCAGCTTATTGCAAATGCACAAAGCATTTGGAGAGCAGAAAACATAAGCAAGAACTCAGCTCCCAGCACAGTCACCCACCCACTAGTCCTGGGTCTGACTGCTCTCTTGTCTTCTGATGGCTTATGCTACTTTGGTCAGAAACTGCCACTTCATCATCACTGGGCAGTCTCCTCCATCATCAGATGGACACATGCAATGAGCAGCAGCAGCACAGTGAGGACTCAAACAACCATCTAGTGCTCATTAAACTTCTTGACTAATTACCCCAGAGCCACGCAGCTTTAAGAAGTCTCAGAGTGGAAACTCCAGTAGAATTGATGTACTTGCCTGCCTTTCTGCAAAGCTGGGACAAAGGATAGATAGCGCAACCAAACTCATCAAATAAGATCATAACTTATTCAAAGCAGCCTTGTTAGATGACTCATATACAAGGACTTGTTTGCTATCCCTAAGGAGAATAAAACATGAGTATGGACTGAGGGGTTAGTGGGGTTTAGCTGACTGGGGAATGTGCTTTAAACTTCTGATTTCTCTTGATTGCACCGTTGTTTTGTACCTCCTGAAACAGAACATGGCTTATGATTTACAGCTTTGATACTGTTTACTTTAAGTCAATGCAAATCCAAACACCACAATCCATTGAAACGTCATTATACTTACAGTGAAAAAAACAGGGCACATGTTCATCAGTACTAAGCCTTTCCCAGGAACATATTATTTTCTTATATTTGAAAACATGTGGTTAATTGACTACCAAAAAGGGCATTGACCAAGACCATGGCCTATCAGTCACGGGTGAGGAACTATATGGAAACTACTGAGATTTATGTGTAACTTTTTTCTCTCTGCTCTTTCCAAATGTGTGATTTTATGATCATTCAAGATGACCTAAGTCCACAGTACACTGAAAAATATGGTCCTGTCTGCCTGATCCCAGTTGTGCGTTTCTGCCACCGCTCAAGCCAGCATGAACTCTTTCAGACCAGTCAGATAAGCTGCCTAACCCTTAAAATTACCCGTTTGCACCCATATAAAACCTCTGCTTTAGCTGCGTAAGGGCTGGTGCTACCAAAGGGAATGGGGTGGGAATATACACACAGGGAGGGCTGACTGCCTTTACAAGCAGCACAGACTTCAATGAGAAAACCTGATCGTGACATCATGCCCTAAGGCAAGGCAAGCACATATGTTAACTAGCACAAGTGCAAGGGACGTGCCTGGTGAGTGAGTGGCAGCTGTTTGCTCACAAGTAACAAGCTACCGCCTTCCTGGTGGGACCCGGATAGGGGCAAGCAACGAGAAAGTCCTGGCCTTTATTTTTCCTATGTGGAACAGGCACCAAGGCAGACAATAACCATGGAATGGCAATATAATTATAGTGATGTGAGTAACGTCAGGGCATGGTTGCGATCACTGAACTGCTATCGGATGTCTGACTGACCACTGTCCCTAAGGCCAGGTTTCAGGCAGGTCCAGTCTCTGGAACAGTTTAACTCCAAGAACAGTCTAGTCTTTTGAGGCAGATTTGACACTTCCATATGGATGATGTAATCAACATGTCTCCTGCCTAAGATTGCCTCAGAGAAAGCAACAGCTATACAAGCCATTTTATTTAGCTGGCAAATAAAAGACATTGGATTATTGATAAATCATAGAATGGGTTGGGTTGGGAGGGACCTCAAAGACAATCTAGGGTTGGGTTGGGAGGGACCTCAAAGACAATCTAGTTCCAACCCCCCTGCCATGGGCAGGGACACCCTCCACTAGACCAGGTTGCCCAAAGCCCCATCCAGCCTGTCCTTGAACACTTCCAGGGATGGGGCATCCACAGCTTCTCTGGGCAACCTCTTCCAGTGCCTCACCACCCTCACAGGAAAGAATTTCTTCCTTATATCTAATCTAAATCTCCCCTCCTTCAGTTTAAAACCATTACCCCTTGTCCTATCACTACAAGCCCTTGTAAACAGTCCCCAAACACTTTCTCTTTATACTAGTCAATATAGTACTTCATGAGAAGTACACACTGTCAGTATAACAGTGCTGCACACTGCTGAAGAGCCAGTCAATCACTGTCAGTAAGAAACGACAGCATGACACCACCCTAGAAAGTTTCCTATGAAGTCTACCATGAACAGCCTTGAAATGGTCTCTTAGCAACAGTGAAATATCTTGTGATTTTTTTTTTAATTAACATGCAGAGAATATGCATTTCATTTTAACTTCCAAAAAGTAAATATTGCTTTGAATTAAAATAACTGATACAAAAGTCAGGAAAAAATATTAACCTAAATTCATAATAATAACTGGTAAAATGAAGCTGTCGGCATATTGATAAACAAGCATACAGTCCTAAAATTCCCTCATTTTAAATTCCCAAGTATACAATGCACAACAGCACATTAAAAAAGGAATATTTAAGACAAAAAAAGAAAAAAAAATTGTGCTTCTGCACAGAAGCTGCCTACTAAATACTAGATAGGTCAAGAAGGAACTTCAAATAAAACCCATCTATTGCATGACCATTGTAGAGCTGTTTGTAATTTCATCCAAAAGAGGACAATGACTAGCCGAAAAGCTAGTAAATGAAAAGAATGTAAGGCTACCCTGATCATTCGTTTCATCTGTAATGGAAATTTCCCTGGTTAGAAATTCTGACCAACTAAAAAGGGTGGGCTATCATACAAAGAAACAGAATATAGAACAAAGATTTTATCACCACAGATGCACCAACTTTTAACTGCTAAACCTTTGAAAGCTTGATTCACTAGAGAGCAAAAGTAAATCTAAAAAAGAGGATTACCTGGGCGGAACTGCTTCACCACAACAAAGCACTGCCGAGAAGTATTAAAGATCAGGACTGACACACTGAAGAAGATAAAAAAACAAAAGATCAATGCTTTATGAAGGATTAATGCAGAACTATTAAACTTACATCTTGTGAATTTAATTTTAACTACATAAATACATAGAAGATTTATTACTAAAGCCACAATGTAACAAGATCCTTGTCCAAAATCCATCAAGAGGTATAGATAATGGGTCATGTTCCCAAAGCCCATGAGAATTTATCCAAAATTAACTCACTTTTGTCTCCTGCCACGCAGACAAAGTAAGCCACCAATCAATTCCTTCTCCCCAACAGAAAAAAAAGGTCCATCTCTAGGAACATTGCTACTAGATAGTAATAACAAGAAAAAAATCCTTAAAAATAGAAATGTTTTCTTCCCTCATATCAGTTCCAGATTAGATTAGTCTAACTCTTAGGCACAGTCTAGTCTCATTCAGAGCCAGAGACTTCTGTATAAGCACAGAGCATCTCCTATCTGTGGCTACGTGCTGAGCCTGGGCCTTAAAACACACACCATCCATGTCCAATTTTGTACAAATTTAAACCAGAAGCAATTTTACCTGCTACCACATTCAATGGTTTAAGAGTCACATCTTTCCCCTGTCCTCTTTGATTGCTTGAAATACCTGTCATAGGGAAAGCTGACCAGCTGAGTATTTGGAGATGCTCTAAAAGTGTGGAGTACTAGTGTTCCCTGCTGTCTTTTTCACTTAAATTACTCCTGGGTTTTACTAGTTAAAAAAAAAAAAAGCAGACAAAAGTCTCTCTCCTTAGTTGGTAGCCCATTAAAACCTGCAAAAACAAGTGTATATTTTGCTCATTACCATGGCAGCATTCTCTCATTTGTTATGCCTCACTGTATGCAATTGGAAAGTTAATTCATTATTCTATGAATTCTACAATAGATGAGACTAACAATGGCATATTTGTAGAGTTGAGTCAAACTTTCAACTTTCCTTGTAAAGGAGCTGTATATTTATTTTCACTATTTGATTTAATAATGAAGTCTCAAGCTGCCAGAGAAACTGCTATTTGATGATTATTAAAAATAATGTTAATGTTTATTATAATAATATATAAAAAACAAAACAGAAGGGAGAAGTCCAGATGTTAACATTTATATTCATGGCTGCTATTCTGAAAGACCCATACTGCATATTGATGGCTTCCTGCCCCAGGAGATGTCATTTGCAGACCATTTTAAAGCAAAGGGGTTTAGCCCTCAGAGAGGCTGGAGAAGAACATTGTGTCTGTTTACAGGCACCTAAAACCAGAATATCTTGGAGTTATGGTGCAGGCTGCTACAAGAGCTGAAGTTAAACCACAGCCTACAATGTTTTTAACTTTATTTAAGTATTATTCTTTGATTTTATTTTTTTTTTTAATCCTTTGCATGACTGTCCCTCTCTCCAAAGCAGTACTGTCTGAGGGTAGACATTGCACTACACAAGAGGGAAAGGAATTACTGCTACTGAACCTTTTTTTTGTGTCCATGGGTCTAAGGATGTGCACTGCCTGGAACTGGAGACAGCAGCAGTCTAAAGCTGAGGTTAAAGAGAAGAGTAGAAACTTCCCGAAGCATACAGTTGCCCTTTACCTTTCTTTACATCCACCACCCCAAGCCCAATCTTTCACTTGGCCTGCCTTCTTCAGCATGTCTCATTAAATAACTCATACCAACTCATTAAAAATAGCTTAGCTATTAGACATTATTTTTTTTCCTCAGAGTCAATCACTTGAGATTTTTGTGGAACAGATGGGAAAATTAAAAACAATCTGTCAGAATTAAGGAACAAGATCAAATTAAGCTGGAAAGAAGTAGCAGCAAGTTATTACAATTGTCTGCTTCTCACACCATCTTGAGATAAGAGGGTACAGAAATGGCACAAATCTGTAGAACTTTCTATTTAATTACTTCTAATTTTCTGAGAGACTGACAAACAATTTTGAACATAAATTTACTTTTTTTAACAAACCACTACACACAAGTTCTAATATTACTTGTCATAGTTGGAGGGTCATGGAGGAGAAAGTTCAGAATTACACCTTCTTAGGAGGAATGTGACATTACAAATGCCATTTGGTATTTCTTATTCCACAAGAAACAATATAACATGAAATATTTCCACAGGTCACTAAGTCTGTAACTTCTGAAAACCCACTTAAAGCCGCATTCAGGGCAGTTATTTGAGTATTATAGAAAGTTAGGGCAAGACTGTTCAATTGATCTAAGTGGAGGATCCCATGAGCCACTGCTTCCAACGGGTTTCTGTATTGCTGCAACAACCCAAATATGCGGGTTCAGCTGTTTGGTCTGGCCTATAAGATAAGGAAATTATCTTCTGGAGTTTTAAATCATCATACAAAGAATTCACTACAAAATTGAGATTACTATTTTTACAGATGATACAGGCTACCAAAAAGGACTACTACGAATACATCTTTTAGTGTTATCATACCACTGGATATTACAAGGCTATTTTATGTTTCAAGGCAATTCCCTCTAAAATACTACAACCAATCCTATTTTGGAATATTATATATGCATCTATAAGCTTTAAAGTAATCAATAAAGAGTAAACATATAAAATAAAAAAATTAAAACATTCACAATGACTTTGGGAATATCTTCACAAATAAAAGATAGAAAAGACAACCAAAGCCCAAGCTGCATGTTAGCAGAGAAGAGAAGAGAGGGGAAAAAAAAAAAAAGCCCAGCCAATTTTCCTAAAAAGGGAGGGATCCTAGACAAGAATCTATTCTGAAATGGACAAAGATCCTAACCCAGCAACAGGCTTCATGTGCCCATGTCCCAAAGAGGAGCACAAGACCACTTTTTTGTTATTTTTTACGAAGAAAAAGAATACTCAGATGTAACAAGATCACGATGGATCCAAAACTTGCCTACATACCTTAAAAACAAGCTATAACATGTCTAAACAAATGAAACAGTGTCTCACCTTCAACCTGCCAACCTTTTCATTTTGGGTGGCAGATTATTACTTTCACCATATTCCATAGCTGTACATCTTTGCTGGCTATTCCTCCAGCAGCTGACAGCCAGGGAAATTGCTGGTGCAAAAAGAACAGGTCATTTATGCAAATGCAATGCCACTGAGCCCCAGATCTGCACCTGGGACTTGCTAAGCACACAGCACAAGTGTTGCACACAGGTATTGCATTCGGTACCTGCCACTGCCGGTGGGCTTGCCACCTCTGTAGGCAAGAGATGGTTGAAGAAAACTCTTCAAAATGTGCTCTATGTGTCATTCAGGAGCTATAATTTGCTTCTGTAAGACATAGATCATTTTGGACCATTGAAGGAGACTTGGATCCCTCACACTGCATCTGTTGGTGGCTGCTTTAGGAACTACAACCAAACAGAAAGACAACATATTAAGAGAGGACACAGGTTTGTACAGGGTCTTCCAGGGCTAGTGAAGACCACAGGGCTGCTCAGCTTTGAGCCCAACCCCTCCTTGGCTTCCCCTTGCAGTAGCTCCTGCTCACGTTATACATGCAATTAATCACTACTCCAATTACAGGAGACTTTTTCCCAAAGAAAGCACACATGTAAACAGGTTACTGTGCAATAATGTAGGACACTGTTTTTCTATAAATATAGGAACAATTAGGGTAGTCTTAAAATATTTTAAGAAAGATATACCCAAAATGTCAGCAAGACGTATCTACACAGATCAGCTAACCTGTACTTGAGCTTTTATTGTACTCAAGTTTGCAGTTAAAGTGTGCCTGGTCTTGGCATCTAACACACTGTGTTCTTAAAGGGATTCCAACTATTCAGTCAAGGATCTCATGTAGCATTTAACCATTTAAACTTCAAAGAAAACCTTGAGTGAAATAGGTAAGCATTAGGATTCTCTAATGGATATTTGGCTTTCCCAACGTGCAGAAGTTAAATATGACTGACCCATGGACATCTGCAACACAGGAGTCCAGAATCTTAATTCCTCCTCCACCTTTAAGACTCTCATTGAAAGAGATTACCCACCTGAATACAACCTTTATAGTTGAAAACACCTCTTACAAGATTTTAGAAAATTACTTCATTTTGTGCCATTGGCCTAGAAAACTACTTCCAAATTTCTTCCTTCCCCAAACACAGTACAGCTCTGTATTTATTGAACTCATGGTAACTGATGCTTTATAACATTCCAGTAGAGCAAACATTTATATAGAAATACTACTACAACTCACACACTCACACCTGAGAAAGGAAGGTGGTGTTTCTAGGAGCAATGTAAAAACCACACTATTTGACAACCGCAGTTATGAGGTAGGACAGATGAAAACTGACATCCTGTTAAATGTGCACACATATATGGACAGACAGAAAGTTAATTCTTTTGAAATATATCCTAGCAATTAAGATCAGCAAATGAGCTTTGCCAAAGCTACAAGAACATATACTTCTTGAGCTCCAATATTTGAAGGAAGGTTTTGAGGGATAGGGGTTGGGTGTTTTGGCTTTTTTCAGTGGGTTTGGCTTTTTTTTTTTTGTCTGAAGGGTTTGTTTGCATTTTGTTGTTGGATTTGGGGTTTTTTTTTAATGTAGAAAAGTAATTTCACCTTGTACTCATCAGTTTGGTAATCTTCTATCTTGATGATTTGTCAGTTGTTGACCTGGGCTACAGTTAATCCAAAGCAACTGTTAACACTTACTAATGCTTTTCATGAGACAAACTTCTGAAATCCTTTAATAAAAAAAGATTGATTCAGCCTTTCATTATTCTTAGATGCGACCTTAATATGTACTTTACAAATGTGAATTTGCAAAACTAAAAAATAATTTAAAAAAAAAAAATCACAGTATAGTAATAGCAAAGAAAAGGACAAAATTCTCTTGTGTTTCTGTGAATGAAATAAGACTCTCAAGGCTGGAGATGAGGATTTTTAAAGATAATCTTGTACTAATACCATAGTATGCTAAGTAATTGATGAGGTAACATGGGCAAAGAAGCTGACCTTTCTTTAATCATTGTAAGAGCAACTCAGGATCTCCTTGTGTCTAGCATGGGTTATGTGTGTGTCACACACATTGTGATCAGAATTGAATAATGGAAGACAAAGCACCTAAAAAACCACTAACGTTAACATTGAAAGCCTGGGCTTCCCAGCTCTTAACCTCAACCACTTCCACCTACTTTTAAAGGCTAAAAATTAGCTCAAAATTAGTTGAAAGTCTGTAATATCATTTGTGCTGCTTACAAACAATAATCTCAGCTCCATAATGGAGACTTTAGGAAGTAATGTTATTTGATTTTAAAAGAATGCAACAAACCAACCAAAACAAAGCACCAAAACCCCCGCAACATTATCAGAGTTTGTGGTAACTCAGTTACCATTCTCAAAGAAGACAAAGAAAAAACAATGGCAGATGCCAAAAAAGAAACACAAAAACAGCAAACAGGAATAAAAGCAAGTCATTGATCAGTCCCCTTGACTCTCAACAGATATTTGGTATTAAAAATCCCTTTGATACAATCAGAAGAAAATAATCAAATGTAGTGTGTAATCACAGAATTATTTAAGAGACACATATTAATCTCTGCTGGAGAGCATGTGGATATAAAACATACATGTAATATTTTTGCCTAGATGGCTCATAAGGGAAAAAATGTCAAGACTTAGTAATCATACTAGAAGGAAAGTTAGTAAGAAAATAAATAAATCATTTAGAAGTCCTATAATTATTTTATCTTTAAAATATAAATTTGTTTTGCTTCTTGAAGATATAGGAATTTGGCTTGCTTTGTTCCTACAGTGTTGACAAACTGATCTTTCATATTGTTTTCCATGTCAAGACTATATTTTAAAAAGACTAGATGGAATTATAATGTTTGATGAACACCTCAGATCAGGATTAAAGCATGTTAATGAAAAAGTGTCCTTTTCTTGTTCAAACCAGAAATGACTGTGCTTTCAATCTTAAAGTGATAATCAAAAAAAAAAAAACCCCAACCCCAAACTTGTTTGAGAACTAACAATCAAAAGTAATTCTTTGGGAGGATTCATCCTTCAGGAGGGCCTACTTGATCTTAAGTTATTTCAAAATTATTTTGGGTGACCATGAGAAAGAACTGCATGTAGTCCCTGTGTGACTTCTGTATTCAAATTAACTATCCGTTTCATAGTTGGACACGTCCCTGAAAACTTCTAATGCAGTATCTGAAGTGCTGTCGTCTTCCTTTTATCAGAGCAGCACCCAGTATCTTAAGCCAGAGAAAACAGTCCCTTCGTTTTCAGAACAGACATGTAATAAAGCTGTACCCTTTGATTATTCTCCAGTGCAATTCCTTTAGTTTCCCAGAGCTTTAACTGCACTATAATGCAGATAGTGCTGAGATTAAATGTGTGTGCTTGCACAATCTTTCCTAGTTCATTTAAGTCTTCCTTCAAAGCATTTTACATTTTTCAAAGGCCAACACCAATCCAATTGGCTGCTTAAAAAGCAGCCTATTACAAAAGCAAAGCTATAAGCTCCTGACAAAAACGTTCAGCCTTTCATACTAATCACAGATAAAGTGGATTTGGCAAAAGATAATTAGAGACGTCTAGAAGACTTCTGTATTCTGATAAAATTTGAATGCTTTCTCCAATACAACTTAAATATTTAATAATAAGTAAAACCAGAA